ATATATATATATATATATATATATATATATATATATATATATATATATATATATGCAGAGTGTGGCACATGTACACACCCTACAAACCCTGGGTATTAACTTATGCCCTCAGCCTTAACAAGGCAATCATTAACAATAGAAGCCCCTATAAGCTTGCAGTAACTTTGAAAAAGCTGCAGATATCCACCACCCAGGTGAGTAAGTCCATAGGTAAAGTGTATGTAATGTATTCCACAAGTGCATTTTGTTGTTGTTGCAACATATGGGAAAGTTGCAACAACAAAAAAAGTATTGGGAGTAAAAGAAAAAAAGTTGTAAGATGTTGTAAAAAGCCATTGAAGACACAGTTAACATGTGAAAGAATGTGTTGTGATCAGAGGAGACCAATACTGAACTTTTTATTCTGCCTATGAGTGTGGTGAAAAACAGGACATCCACTCTGCTAGGCATGGCGGTGGCAGTATCATGTTATGGGAATTTTTCTTTTAACAGGAACCATTCAGGGGAAACTCATAATTTTAAACTTTTTGAAAACAGTACTAACACTGAGATGGGGAAATTTGAAATGCTGACCACAGTAATCACACGTTTTATTGTAGGTGAAAGTTGTGTTGATCAATCAAATGAAATTCTAAAAAAAAAAAAAAAAAAAAAAGCGATTCATCAAGAGTCAAAACTTGAAATGGTTTAAGTCTTTTAAGGCACATTGGATCCTTGATAAAGTTTGTGGCTTCACTATAGAAAATTACATAAATACATTACATTTAACTTTTAAATAAGTTGTAACATCTGCATTTATGAAGTTTTTATATGTTACAGATATTATGATAGTGTAAATAAAAAGAAAACAATATTTGAAGTCTCATTTTTAAGTTAAATAAAACAATCATGTTACATTTATATAGCGATATGTAGAAAAAATATTTAAAGGTCAGGAAAATCTTAAAATCTATCAACCGTTTTTTTTTGTGTGGGATTTCACATAGAACTGTAGGATGCAAAATGTAAGCTTGAACTTTAGTCAGCATTGGTAGATCTGCTGGAAAAAAAGCCTGAGGCAATAAGCTTGAAGTGTTCAAATCTATCTATTAGCTGTAACTGCCTCATTTGGGGAAAACAATCAGACAGACATGAGATATAAGTACAAAGAAGAACAGAATACTTTTGTGAAAAGAATAACTCATTGTTACAACAAACACTTTCATGTTAAAAACTGAAAGACCTTAATCTTATTCTTAATCTTGCATATAGCCTCTAACAAGCAGGAGGCCTCTTTTTTTCCATTAGACTGCACACACTGTAACCTTTCTTCATCAGCTTTTTATCACATGACGCTTTTGAAAAGCTTTGGCTTACTGTACATTTTTCTGCAGGAAACTGACTGCTAAAATGTATTTTTTTCTGCTAAAATAACAGCAATATTGTTTATTTACGACAGATTAACTCAACTAATCAGTATTTGTTGGTTTAAAGTCACTTTTACCTGCAAGACTATGAAAAAATGAAAAGCAGAACACAACTCTAACAAGAGTTTGATTTTTTTATATTTATTTTACAACTCATCAGCAATAACTTAGAACAGTTTACGTGTAAAGCGCAAAAGAAATGTGCACCAGTTGCTCAGGTAGGACTTTAAAAAGAAGAAAAAAAAATCTAGGGTCCTATACAACATTGACGAAACGTATACTTAATGGTATATTTGCAAAAAGCTATGTACAAACAAATACACATGCCACTGTGTAGCATTGATAAAAGCTTTGAGGCAGAAACCAACTGAGCAAAAATCACGAAAGCATTGAAATGTTTGCAAAACACAATGAAGTTTGTGCCTCTTCAGTGGCGTGTGAAACAATAAAAAAAACAAAGCAGAACATTATTACAGTTGCAGAATTTGGTAAAAATTAAAAAAGGAGCAGAAAAGGGTTCTTAACATGGCAATGACTACAGTTTTTCTCCCAGCTATGTAGGTGTTACAGAATGATTGCCTGAAGCATAGCAGGGAGCAGGTTTTACAAATCTCCATTTCCCATTAAAACATCTTTAAAACAAACAGGAAAAAAAAACTGTCAGCATTTTACAGCATTAAAATCAATTCAATCTTAATTGGAACTCTCTGAAAGATAAACCTAAACACATCAGAGACCTACAGTGATCGACTTTCTGAATGATAAGGTGACTGCTTAGGAGGGATGAAAAGCAGAAAAAAGTGCACTTGACGTCTCATCATCCTATATGGAAACTTGGGAAAGTACAGGTACATTCAATATCAAAGATCTATAAGGTGCTATCCTACAATGTTTCCCGGAGGTACAGGTTACTACAATGTTCTGGTCAAGAAAACTAGTTTAAGGGTCTCAGCTTCCAGTTATGTTCTCTCAACGGCACCGGCAATTGAAAGAAACATTTATGACAGGCTTAAGGATATCAGGCTCAGTTATAGATTGTTAAAACTGATCTTGTCTTTTGTTCAAGGTTGTATGGTGGCCATGTCAGTAACTACCCAGTCAATCTCAGCTAACCAGCCTCATGGAAAGTTGGAGTGAGGTAATGAGGAATACATGTCTTCCCCAGGCTTCTGTAGCTCACATTTACACTTCAGGCTAATATTTACAACCAAAGTTTCCCCATTTCTTATTTATAAGCAGAGGTCAGTTTCAGCTCTCACACCTGCATGGGTGTCACCGAGGGGGTCCCAATGGGGGCAGTGGCCTCTGCTACAAATGTATTAGTCAGACATTCTTATTTGTTATGAAAGGATTTAAGAGAAAACAGGGTATAATTACATTTATCAGCTGATTTGTGGTGTAATTACTTTACAACACGTAAAATGTGCCATCAAGAAATCCATAGACAGATCTTTTTTTTTTTTGTCAACAATAAAAAGGTCCCTGAATAAAACTCTTATTCTCTTTTTGTTTTAGTGTGCCTCCCCAAGATTATCAGTGCTCCCCTTTTCGTAACTTTCTGGAGACATCCATGCATGTATGAGATGTGTTATAGTTGGAACATTGTGCACTGCTGTGTTGGTTACTTAGAGATCTGGAAACAATGCTTCCATGTCAAAATATTTTATCAAATAGGATTTAAGAAAAAGAAAAAAAAAAACTACAAGTATCTGCAGCACAGCACAGCTGTGACGTGTCAATCATTGTCGATAGTCATTCAGATTGTTTAACACAAGCAGAAGTGCAAAAGGCACACAAAATTACAACTGTATGGAAGGCAAATCTCATCACTTTAAAGAAGAAAATATGGTATACTAAATGTCATACTTGTAAGTTTCTGTCATTGTTGTGAGTTTCAGAGTCATCAATATTTACTATGAAATATGAACTATGTAATTATTAATTTGTTAATTATATATTTTTTTTATGTAAGGGTGCATTTTAAGGTCATTTTCAAAAGTCAACATTTAACTCATTTTAATCTCAAAATTCCAACTTTTAAAGACTAAATGATGTTTAAAAATATATATAAAGTTGAAGTTTTAACTGTTTGACGTCCAAATTATCTTTGTGTCTCATAGTAACACAACTGACTTCAGATGTTGAAATTATGAAGTTAATATGATTTTGTATCTAATTTTCAATAAATAGGTAAATAAAAAACTATTTGAACTATTTTGTTATTTTTTTAACAAACCATTTCCTATACTTGCATTTCATAATCATTATTCTAAATGTTCTAAAGACCAGCTTGCTCAGGGGCCTGGTGCCCATCTCCAGCAGTAACTGGATATAGGCTGATTCAAAGCAACTATAAATAAACACATACCTAGAAAGCATGATCACTAATCAAACAGCTTCATTATCTAACTGTGGGAGGAAGCCTGAGTACACAAACTTGATTCAGTCTGGGATTTGAACCCAGAACCTTCTTGCAGCTGGGCAACACTGCTACAGTGCAAATGACTTTGTATCTCAAAACAATGACATTTCAGCCCATATTAATATTATACCATGTTTCATTCATACTTTAAAATGGCAGATCTGGGCTTCCATACTGCTGTCCCCTGCTGCCCCAAGATATTGTATACATGATAACCTCCCCGTTTTAAAAGTAGCCTGAATAATTAAAAAAAAAAATGTAAATACAGAAACTCAGAGAGGTACATAGACTTATTAGCTGGTCTGACAGGCAGAAAACTGCTCCTGTGGGCTATTCTTGCTGTCTGGGGACGCGTCATCTACGTCATCCTCTCCGTCGTCACTCAGGGGAGTTTCCTCGCACTCCTCAGGTGAGCTCGCCCTGGTCTCGCGTGATGATCCAGTCTCGTCTTGAAGCTGCGAGTCTTTGGGGTGAGCGGCGATGTGCGCAGAGAGACCTGGGAAAGCTGCAGCTGCTGCCGCGGCCGCTGCTGCTGACGCGTGCGCCGGGTACAGCCAGGGGAACGGAGACGCAAGGGCGGCCGCTGCTGGGTACATGTACTTTTCAATGTTGTTTTTGTCAAAAAAAGGCATACATGACGCCGCTGCTGATGGGTTGATGAAGTAGAAAGGCATGCAAATGGGTGTCTGTTGTACACCACTTATTCCCATCAAAGAGTTCATAAACGCCACATCTGGCCTGGTCGGGTCCCCGGCAGACCAGCACATTTTAGCTTTCTTGGGCGCTCTGTCATCTCCAAACTCTTGCTTAATTTTCACCGCTTTGTTTCGCTCACATTCTTTATCTTTCCTTTCGCTTTTCTCTGCCTCCCCACCATATCCACTGTCCGTGTCTGTGTCGTTTTCGTTAAACTCCCCTCCCTGGGTCCTTTGGATGACAGGGACGCAGTTGGCCTGACCCTCGGACTTTTGCGCATCCTGCGCGTCCCCGGCGGGTAGCTGATGCTGGAGCGGCGGAGCATCAGGCTGGAACTGCGCCAGCACCTTGTGGAGATGGTTGATCAGCTGTGCGCATCTCTGTTCTCTGGCGGTCCAATTCTCAGCTTGGCTCAGGTATTGCAGGACCTCTTTGGCGCAGGTCTGGAACCCAGAGTGGAACGCATCTAGATCAGCATGGATGGGGGGTTTCATTGAGCGATCTCCTGCGGGGGAAAAAAGTTGAAAGAGTGACCAATTACATTTATTTATTAAGAATCATCTTAATTTTCAGTCTGCTTTTTAAGCTCAGAAAGTTATTTAAATGGGAAGATTACGCACACAGATGTTTGGGTTTTCTCCCCCCTTATATATAAAGTTAATCTACAGAAGTATCCAACCTAACCATTTGGATGAGTTCTTACCATTCTGCAAGGCGATGATCTTCTGGTGCTGCTGCTCAGTGACAGCAGTCAATGCGTTCAGATGCTTCAGCGTTAACTCCAGAACAACCGCTTTCTCCAAATGCCCGAGCGTCTGTTGGGATTAAACAATTTCAGCTGAGTCCGCGATTTCCAGAGCGCGTCAAAACTTTTTTTTTTTTTTAACGGAGGGTCCTGATCTCACCGACAGCTTCAGATGTTCGGGCAGTAGATCCTTAAGTTGGCCGATACATTCATTTATCCTGTCTCTCCTCTTCTTCTCTATGAGCCGATGCGGTAACTTGTATGCGTCCTGCTGACAGAAATATAACGATGGAGTTAAACATTTGATTTCCTTCATGGGTTGTTATGGGTGTAATGACTAACAACTTTAAAATCATGACTGGTATAAAACAAATCAGCGCGCACCTTCCCACCGTCCTCCCTCTTTATGCCTCGTTTAGATTTGCACATGTAGAGCGGAGGGAAATCCATCCTGTAATATAAAGGAAGCGCCACTATTAATAAATAGGATGTATCATTTTTTTTATTAGTTTTATAGAGTTTGGCAAAAGGGAATCTTACCCCAAAAAATCCGTGTGCTCCATGAACTGCCTGTCCTGTAAGTGCGGTATCCTTTCATCCATCACCTCTCTGCAGCTCATAAACTGGCTCTTTGGTTTTTTGTTTTTTTGGAGGGGACAAATGTTTTGTTGCTTTGCGGTTCAAACCCGGGAGATGGTGCGCAGAGTGTGTCCTCCGGTGGAGCTGCGGTTCAGACTGATGTCTGGAGAGAGAAGCCGGAGCTGCCACTTTGCAAAAAAAAAAAAAAAAAAAAGCGCTCAGCTCTGCTGTCAGAGCGCACGCGCGCCGCTGGCTGGGAACAGCTTCCGTCTCACGTGTTGGCTGCACCAGCGCAAAGTCCAGTAATTACTACTCTGTGTGTGTGTGTGTGTGGTAATGTGTGTGTGTGTGTATGTGTGTGTATATGAGGACTACAGCAGCTAATTGTGTCGCTCTTCCTGCAGTGATCTGCTGCGCGCCGTTACGACCTGAAACGTGATTCATGCGCAAAATGCATGAATGCAGGTAAGAGCTTTTGGAAACGGATCAAATGTTTTTAGTTTTTTTCTCTTTGTTTGCACTCAGCACTAACTGCTATAACTTTACAGCTGGAGTTGATAAAAATGATTTATTACCTGATAATAGTTAATAATCTGAAAACATAAAATCAAGAAATAATATCCAAATACCTCTGTAAATCTATATATTTTATAGAATT